GACATTGGATTTCTGTAAGGCCACTGAGATCCCTCATGGGCCCACTTACAATAACAGCCTGGGGTCTGAACCAAGAGAAGGTCCTCAGGCCAGGAGCCAGATTCAAATTTGAGGTGATTCTGAATTGGGGAAGGGGAGTGTGGATCCCAGGTAGCCTGAGTTCTAGAGACTTGCAAAGGGTACAGAGAGGTGGCTGCTTCATGTCCCCCACAAGCCCCCCACCTGCCCACTCCTGAACAATTGTCCCGTTGTCTTGAAGTGTCACCATTAAGCATTTCTAGAGTCCCTGGCCAGGGAGTAGTCACAAAGATTCTCTCCTTGACCAAGCTCTACTCCAGCTCCTCTGAACTTCTCAACTGGGCCTCGGCTTCCGAGCTTCTGTGTACCTCTCTGCATTGTCCAATTTTGGCAAGAATCTTGCTAAGTTAATTTAGCTAGAACCCCCATGCTCCATATTTGATTGTGCTCCTGCTCCTCCACATCCTCAGTTGATGTCTGATTACCCTGGCCTGTCTTCAGCAAGAATCCTTTTAGGTCGGTTCAGCCAGAATCCCCTTTAACTCTGATGTTCCCTCTTAGTAATTTTCCATCCACCGACACTGCCCCTGCCTTGGCTATAAATAACTACTTTCCCATGTTGAATTCAGAATTGAACTCAGTTCTATATTGAGGTCTGTTTTCCCCTATTGCAAGTCCTGAATAAAATCTGGTTTACCACTTTAGCTACTGCTGAGCTCTGGTTTTCTTTGACAACAGCAGGTCCCAGTCCCAGAGACCCCAGGCCTGAGCCCTCTTGTCTCACTTCCTCTGCTCTCTGACCGCACGAGGGGGCTACAAGGGGCCGGGGATTTGCAGTCTCCATCGCACCTCAAGTTCGGTCCTTTCTGGCACGTCCTCCCAAGACCACAGAGAACGAGAGACCAGGAATGGCAAGAAGGGGCTCGGAGCCCGTGCGGCAATCGGTCCCGGCTCAAGATTAGTCCCTCTTGCGCCGCAGCGCCAAGAGCTGTCTTGGACCTTTGGCCGAGTCGCCAACCGTCTCGCCCACCAAGACCCCCTTTGGCCTGCTCATTCCCCTGAGTCCAATGACAGCTGCTAGTTCCATAACGGGTTTCTCCGGCAGAGACCCCTAAGTTGACAAGCGGACGACCAGAAAGGGGTGGGAAGGGAGGAGTGAGGAAAAAGCAATGAACAAGCAAGATGGAGAAGAAGGCGAAGTGAAAAAGCTGCTGTCCCCTGCAGGTTTACCATGCGAACGGCAGGAGGCGCCAGAGACCGCCTGAGGCCAAGGCCAAACACTGCTGCGGCAAAGCGCACGCCTCATTTTCTGCAGTCTGCAGAGCTGGTCCCCGCCTTCGGACTCGAGGCTGCTCCGCCCAGTTCCGCAACCTTTACAGTGGTGACAGTCCGACTCACTCTAGGCTCCGCCCCCCCCACCCCGACCCGGACTTGGGTGTTTAGCGTGAAGAAGTAGCCTCCCTTCTCTCATCCCGCTCCTCCCCAACATCCTCCATCTTCTTGTCCATATTCATCTTCTTTTCTCAAATGATAGATAAATGGGGGGTGGGTGGGTGGGTGGGTGGTGTGTGTGTGTGTGTGTGTGTGTGGGTGTGGGTGTGTGTGTGTGTAAGACATTTATCTAAGCTTTATTTGTGAAAAAAAGCATTGGAAATATTAGCTGGGGAATAATAAATTAAGGAAACCAGACTACATGGTCTCTCTAAAATATGAAATCATTTAAAATATTGTTTATCAAGACTGTGTAACATCATGGGAAATGATTTTCATATAATATTGAAGTGAAAAATACAACCTACACATGGATCTCTATGTAAAAATGTTAACTACACACAGAAAAGGAATGACAGCAAAAACTCCCCCTAAATATGAATCATGGTTTTCTACAGGTATGGCAATGCTTTTCTATACCTTTCACATTTATGGAGTATGTATAAATTAATTCTAAAATGAAATACACCCTTCTCTTTTCACAACTAAAGGAAGCAAGCTGCATCCTGGACAGGCTGGGCAGAAGGGGGAGCTTGCACAGGGCTTGAGTTGGGCACGTAAGTGCTCATCAGTGATGCCATGTCAGCTGTCCCCCAGGCTCTTGAGTGTAGGTACTACACATCTCTGAAACCAGTTCTCTGCCTCCCTTCGCCTGTGCCCAGGTATTCCTCATCCTTAAGATCTCCCCCCACACACATACACCAAACCTCAAATCTTACTCCACAGGCTTCTTGAAATATTTCTTAATATCTCAATATTTCTCTGCTCAAAATACTTAAGAATCTCTCAACTGATCCGATGAATTGAAGAAGTCTATCCATGCCTGGCATTAGAAGCATACACATTTTGGCCCCAATTTACAGTTTTCTAGTAAGTGCAATTTTTTCCTATCAGTTTATGTGTCAGACAAAGAAGACAGCTTTCCATTCCCCAATCCTCCTCATGTTGCTGATGGCATTCAGGGCAATCTGTGCCCCTGATCCTGGGGCCCTGAGCCCTAATGGGGAGTGCAGAGCACAGGGTGTTTCACCGTGGGCCCAGAGGCTTTGGCAATCTTAATAGATAAGATTGAAATAAAAAACAAAACAAAACAGGTAACGTGCTGGGTACACATTGGTGTTCAATATATCTTTGTGGAATACAATACACATTAAATGGTCACCAGTATAAGTTAAAATATTGGCAAACTGACAAGCAAGGTTTTTTTCAATAAGCCAGATTTTAAAAGACATTTTAAAATTTCAAGGTGTATAATATACTTTTTAGTTATCTGCAGGCACTGCCCAGGCTATAGCCCTATAAAATAAATTACACTTGAGTATATTGGGCCAGGATGGCAGGTGAAGAATTCAAATTCAACCTTGACCCAAAGCTCCCCAGGTGGGGGCAAGAAGACAAACTTGGCATCTTCTGTCCAAGTAGGAAAGGGCGCTCTTTCTTCATCCTTCCAACCCACTGGAGCAGGCAAAGAGTGGTCTCATGCTGTGCATGGGACCTGGTTTATAGCTCTGGCTACAGGGAGACTGAGTCATAGCTTCTGACCAAGCTGCTGAAAAAGACATCTTTTTGCCCAGAGCACACCTGCCTACTAAGCCTGTGCTCCCTAGGGGATGGGGCGGAAGTGGCTGCAAAATCTCTGGGGGAGTGGAGGTGAGAAACAGAAGCCACTCCTATTCCATTCCCCTCACTTCCTTTCTCCTTAGTCAGATCCTCTCCTGAGTCCTCTGCACTCGACATGTCTCTTCTCTCTTCCAATTTGTCACCGTGACTGAAATAAATGGAGGGATGAGTCAGGACTTGGCAGTGATGGAGGAGCTGGAAGGAAAGGGCTGCACCTCTGACTCTAACACTTTCTGTTACAAATTCAACCCCTGCTTTAAGCTGCTAGACAGGTGGCTGAGAGAAGGGGATGCAGTGTCAGGTCAACTTTGGTCATTTTTCCTCCTCTCCCCAATTCACTTTGACTGATATTTCTACCCTGTGTCCCAGGCTGACCTGACACTTAGCACCACTGTTTCAGACCCCTCCAGGACCTCTGTTCCTACCCTATCCACTGTACATCAAATTCTGATTCAAAATATTATTAAGATTTGAAACATATGTATCTTGAAATTTGAGCCTCATCCCTTAGAAGGAATCTAACATACATTTCATCATTGTTATGCCCTTCCCCATCTGGTTTATATTATGTTTAATATAATCTAGGGTTTATATTCATATAGTTATCAATATACTATTTTATAGACTGATATTTTGATCATATTTTGACATTTGATTTTGTAACTGGATTTAGGATTTTATAAACCATGATTATGTCTAATCTTCTTTAGTCCTCACTGTCAGGCCCTGCCAAGACCAGCACGATAGAAATATAATGCAAGCCACATAAGTAATTTTAAATTTTCTTATAGTCACTTTATAAAAAGTAAAAAGAAACAAGTGAAATTATTTTTAAGAGTATATTCATTTGATAAAAACAGAAAGTAGAATGGTGGAGGCCAGAAGCTGCAGGAGGTGCCAATTAATGCAAATACATATATTTCTGTTGATGGAAGAAACATCCAAACCTGTAGAGGATTTTTATGAGTTTATTTTAGCCAAACTGACAACATATGCCAGGGACCAATGAGGTAAGATAATAAGAAGCTAGGGAAATTCCTTGACAAGTTGAGTAAGGGAAACTGAGGCAAAATAATTAAACAAGGCCAAATTATTTTAACAATTTACAGCCAGCTAATGAATCACAAGGTTTTATCTTCCCTTACCAGGGACACGTAGGGACAAATGGTTCACACATTCCAGACTGTCCCGGGACAGAATGGCCTCAGTTCCGATCCCCTCTTCAATGATGTTCTTTGTCAATATGAGTAAAACTAATCAGAAAATAATTCCTGACCCCTCTATATGCACATTTTAATGAATCAATATATTGAAGAACACAACTGAAAAACTAAGAAATATTCTGTTAAGACTCTCCCCTGAGACCTTCCCTGGGATTCCAACTGGCCAAAGAAAGATAAAAAGCCTTGAGACAAAGGATCCATGCCTCGCTCTTGCTACAGTATGCCTGTGCACGCCTTGTATCTCTGCTCTCTTCCCCCTAAACTCTAAGGGCCTCCACAGGACTTGCAACCAGGACAGCAGCAGGCAGCAGCAGCTTGTCCTGGGCTTACCCCCTGAACCTGTCTCCAAGGTCCCCCTTTTTTTTCTCTCTCCTATTGCTTCCTCTACCTGAAGCCCTTCCTTTGTTTCACTGTCTCCAGCTTCAATAAACATACTCTCAAAATCACCTTGACTTGTGTTGTAAAAATCTTTCCTGCATAAAGTCAAGAGCCCACACACTACCAGGGGACCCGAGGCAGACCCACTCTGGGCTCAGACCTTGTCCAGTAACAGCAAAATCCCCAAACATTCTGGAGAATAACAGTGGGTTGTTGTTTTTTTTGCAAAATTTTATGGTTTTATTTAACACTAATGTGTACAGAAACTGTTCATTCATCTTCGCTGCGCAGCCTGGCATTGGGATTGGTGACTCTGATGGCCAGCTGAACAGCTCTCTTCACAATGGCCTTGTGCTTCTTGGAGGAGACGTTGTGAGCAAACTCAACACAGTAAGATTTGTCACACAGCAGAAGCACTTCAAGCTCCTTGACACTGTGGAACAGGAACTTCCGAAAGCCATTGAGCAGCTTGTACTTTGTTTTCTTGTTGCCCCCATAACAAAGGTTGAGCATCAAGATCTGGCCCTTGAATCTTCTGTGTACTCTATTGTCAATGCCTCTGGGTTTCTTCCAGTTCCCCTTAATTTTGACATATAGGTCTGACTGGTGCCAGATGGACTTCTTGGTCTTCTTTTTGACAATCTTGGGTTTCACAAGGGGTCTGAGGACAGCCATGGTGCTGAGTAGGAGATGGCTGCCATCTCTGTAGGCAAGGCCCAGGAAGACAGAGAGTATAACAGTTTTGCAGCTTCTTTTATGCATTTGAAATTAAGGAGGGAATGTACACGGAAGATTAGAGAAAGCACGGCAGGGATTGAATTACAAGATACTTAAGATTATGTGCTCTCTTGAGGGTTAATACCCCCTTTGAGGGGCATTACTTCTGGCATTTCAAAGGTGTGTCAACTTAGATGCACACGAACAATAGACAGAGCTGGATTAAAACCTTTAACTAAAAAAGTTATTGCCATGGTCAGTGTGGGTCAGTTGATTGGAGCATCATCCCATGGACTGAAAGGTCACAGGTTTTATTCCCGGTGAGGGCATACACTCAGATTGTGGGTTCTATCCCCAGTCCGGGTGTGTACAAGAAGACAACCAATCAATGTTTCTCTCCCACACTGATGTCTACCCCTCTCTCTTTCTCTCCCTCTCTGAAAGCAATGAAAAAATGTCCTCGGGTGAAGATAAAAATAAATAAATAAATAAATAATAAAGAAATTATAGGCCTGGGGCATGACTACTCACCATGACCTGCCCAGTTAGAAACTTATGATTAGACCATCCAGTGAAATTACTTTCCATAGAACTTCCCCTTTTTTATCCACATTTCATTTAACCAATGTGAAAAATGATGTAAATGGAGAAACTTTAAAGCGGAGCTGGAGCTGCCATCCCAAAACTGCCTTGGACGGGACCAAAAGCAACATTATATTTCAAACAATAGTTTGTTATGACTACTGGACTAAACATTCTTTAGAAATAGTATTACTATGTTAGCTTGGCTAAATCTATAGAAATTTCTGCCTTAGCAAAACATGCATACAAAGGCCTTCCTTCTACTCATGTAATTGTTCCCTTTCTCTTTCTCATAAAATTGCCTTCACCTCATAACTGGAACACTATTTGGGTTTCTGCCTGAATCAGTGATCTTGAATAGCTATTCTTTTGGATCTCAAATAAACACTTTATGCCTCTCATTTTGGCCTTTTATTGTTAGGTTAACACCCAATATATCCTCAATTATATCATTTCACCATGTAATCAATCTGGAAATATTATAGTCATGCACCACTTAACTAAGGGGACATGTTCTGAGAAATGCATCCTTAGAGGATTTTGTTGTCATGTGAACATCACAGAGTGCACTTACACAAACCTAAATGGTGTAGCGTACTACACACCTAGGTTTTTGGTATAGCCTATTACTATGTAGCAGAAGGAAAAATAATTTTTCCTCAGCTTTTCTGGGTTCTTCGCTGAGACATCCCTGTAATAAAAGACAGATTAACAGGAGAAAAACAAACACAAATTTAATAACATGTTTACCTTGTGTATACATAAGACAGACCCAGGAAAGCCGGTTAACTCCCCAGAAGGGCTGAAGCCACCACCTTAAATACCACCTTCATCTGAAGACTGAAGAAAGTGGTGGTGGTAGGGGAGGCCAGTTTTGGGAGGTTACCAAGAAAAGCACAATAAACAAAGGTAAGGTTGTTATGTAGATTTAAGTCTTGTCTTCTGCGTTGATAAGAGTATCTAGAGATAAGGTCATCCCCTATTCTTGGTACAGCAAGGGTGACACCTTTACAAATTGAGATTTCCCTAAGAAATATAAATGTCTTTCACAATGGGTAACTTCTACCTGGTTTTCAGAGCTTCTCTCATGTCTACCATTTCTTAAAGTTAATCCACCTAAAGTAATCCTTATGTCAAATAGACATATTTTGGGGTGACAAATTCTACTACCATATTGCTCCTAGTCTACAAATCTGTACCGCATGTTGCTATGCTGAATACTACAGGCAATCATAACACAAGGGTATTTGTGTAATGCATTGCACTATGACATTAACATTGCTACAGCATCACTAGATAATAGGAATTTTACAGCTCCATTATAATCTTACGGGCCCATTGTCCAATTGTAACAGAGTAAACTGCATGGCCTCTCCGACTCCACCTTGTTCAAGCCTGCTTTGTTCCCATGACTTTCAGGCTACTAGCTTCTGCTTACTCTTGCATGTAGACATGCTAATCATTAGAGGAATTCTGCTTGCAGCTTGAGTTGTACAAAAACAGCCTTTTATCAGAAAGTGCCTTGGAAGTATGTACGAAGAGAATGATTGTTTATCAAACATTTGCAGGAAGCTCATAGCCAGACTCATATCAACTATAGTCAACAGACTAAGAACAAAGGGGTTTCACAATCTTCCTCAGCTCCCTGCTGGTGCCTAGATGTTTATGGTCATCAATCACCTTTTGCTCCTCCCATTTCCTCCTTCCCTTGACATAAAAGAAGCCTGAATTCTGTACTTTCTTAACATGGTTCTTTAGGACCCTAGTTTGCCATTTTCTCAGCTTGCTGGCTTTCTGAATAAAGTCACTTTCCTTGCTCCAACAACTTGTCACTCCTCATTGCCTGTGGTGTGGCAAGCTGTACAAACTTGGACTGGGTTACACTACATGCAGACCATCATTGACCTAAATGCCATTATGCAGCAAATGACTGTAATGAGACATTGTACATTCTTTTTCCATGCTAAATCTTTGAAATCCACATGTATTTTACATGTTTTAATTCCTGTGCCTAGCAGCTACTTATGAATTCTTCATTCTTTCATAGGCCAGGTGAGAAATCTTGCATCAACTTAATTTGAAGATGAAATACAGGCATATTATCTTCAATTATGTCATATTAGAGAATAAACACTTTTAGTCACAGAGTCAAAATAGTTGTAGTTCTTTATTTCATAGATAAAATGTGTTGAAACAAAAAGTAGCAGGTGTTTATGAACTATGTCAGCTCTATCAGTTTTATTACTCATCTTAATAAATGATGACTATTTATTAAGTACTTACCTCCTGCCAACTCACGTGTGTTTTATGACCTTCTGGAAGCACACTGTTAAGAACATAGGACTCTGGAGACAGACTGTCTGTAGATTAATCTTGATTGAATAATTTATTAGTTGTGTAACTTTGAATAAGGGCATTGACTGCTTTAATCCTTTTTTTTTTTTCACTTATAATATGGGGAAGATAATACTGCCTACAACAGGTTGTGAGGATTCAATGAGATTATTCTTATCAAGACCTTAGCCAATTGCTTGGCCATGTGAGTCCCCCAATGAAAGTTTACCTGTTATTATTACTATTTTACTCAATCCTTATGACAACCATGTCAGGTAGGTATTATTACTTCTGTTGAAAAGTGACAAAGCTGGGACTAACTTTTCTAAGGTTACAGGAACTGTTAGACAGTGAAAATGGCTTTTAAACCTATTGCCCAGCTCTGGCTGGTATGCCTCAGTGGATTGAGCGCTAGCCTGCAAACCAAAGGGTCGCCAGTTCAATACCTGGTCAGGGCACACGCCTGGGTTGTGGGCCAGGTCCCCAGTTGGGGGCATGTGAGAGACAACCACACATTGACGTTTCTCTCCCTCCCTTTCTCTAAAAATAAATGAATAAAATCTTTAAAAAAAACTGTTAACAACCTTTTTAAAAAATTAAAAACCTGTTGCTCAGATCCAGAATCCAGGGTTTTAACTCCCATGAAAACCCACCCCGTCTCACTCTCAATTTTCATTTTAAACTATGTAAGCAGGGAAATTGGTTACATATGATTTGGGATCCATGCGACACAAAGGCTTCTTACAAGGTTTTAATATGAAAACTGAAGATAAGTTATTGCAGAGTCTTTGGGGAGAAAATAACTCCAGCAATTAAATAGAACAATTATAAATAGCTTTTACTGGCAGGACTTTTGGATACTTTTTAGAAAATGTAAACAGCTGTATAAGTTTTTCTGTTTATAAATTGATCTCAGTTAATTATAAATAGAGTAAATAAAACAGCATAAAGCATTTTAAAAGACACTCACATTCCCATTGCCCCAATTAAATCACCAGACTTATTTTTTTCTATATATTTATAGACTGACAACAGAAAAACAGACCAACAGAGAGAGTACACATAGAGATGGAACTGTAAAGGGGAGAGAGAGAGAAATATTTATAATATATGAGGACCAAGAGATTCTGCAGACTGCCCCCCTGCGCACCTTGATTGACCTGTCACTGATGTGACCAGGTTTGTAGTTAAATTAAACATCAGGGGATGCTCGGAGCTAGGGTTAGTCAATGGGAATTGGGGGTGAGACCATTGGGAAGGGCTGGGCAGGTTTGGGTCTTGCTAGGGAGCAAGTGCTGCCTGAGATCTCCATGTGTACTTTGTTGCATGGGAACATCACATCCCTGTGGAGTGATTCATGTTTCATGTGCTCATATTCACACTTCCTGGCAGGCAGATCTTGACTCTGTCTCTTTCTGCTCCCTACTACAGGCCATCAGCTCTTAAGGTTTCTGGTTTTCAGACCCAGGGTACTACCTACTCTCTGTGGCTTCCCTACTTCTGCCCATACTTTTGCCATTTTCTTAGTTCCCTTGAATTACCCAGTTTGAGGGTGCCAATCTGTTTTCCACCAGGACCTTGGATGGCAGGATAGAAACATCCTTAAAGTATTTTTATGATTCACATTCCCTTTTCATACGCCTTCTATATACCTACTTTTGTATATTGAGTTGTGATGAAGCAACTGGTTTTTTCCCCCCGCACTCTTCATTTTGTACCGCATTATTTAATGTACAAGTCCATAGTTTACATTACGATTCACTCTTTGTTTTGTACATTCTATGGGTTTGAACAAATGTATAATGACATGCATCCAGAATTACAGCATCATACAGAGTAGTTTCACAGCCCTAAAAATCCTTTGTACTCTACCTATTTATCTTTCCCCCTCCCCATGAAACTCTGGAAACCATTGATCTTTTTACTGTCTCTATAATTTTTAAATGTTTTTTATTGTGATAAAACAAACACATAACATAAAAATTTACCATCTTAATTTTTAAGTGTGCAGTTGAGTTGTGTTAAATATATTCACGTTGCTGTGTAACAAATCTCAAGAACTTTCATCTTGCAAATTGAAACTCTGTACCCAT